TCCTAGTACGCTGCTCGCGGCACTATATTGACGGTCAGTCGATAGGTAAATAGGATTGTGTTTACTAAGGTGTGTGCCTAGTTCATTTGAGCTGATAAGTTCATGTGATTGCCATCATAGAATTTAAACATCTCCGGGCTCATAGTTTCGATGCGGTGGGAAATAATGACGACTTGGTCCGCAAGGCGGCGCTCGCGAAGAAGGCAAAGGAATACTAACTGTCAATTTGTTCTCGGGGTGAAGGGGGTCAAACATGGCGAACATAGCATCACATTCAATTCCAGAGTCCGACCGAAAAAACAACAGAATTTCAATTTGAAGGCTTAAATGACAGATTTACAGACACCATCAGAACCGGGACATGGAGCTGCAGAACAATCTTTGGAGAGGTTGACAACTTTCACAAGCAAATTTCCGGTGAACTCGTTTCTTATGAAAAAGATGGGCATTGAATGTAAATCGCTTGATCGAATAGCGATGAACCTGGATTTGTTATTAAAGGATGATTGTTCCGAAACTTCAATCTTGTTGCTCCATGTAACACAAACGCGGGCCAGTAATCTCAATGGTTATCAACACAGTGGACTCAGGGATTTACCATTTCTTTGGAAAAAATCAAGTGTACATTTTACTGCATCAAAGTTGAATTTTCAAACTACCTGCTGTACGACATAGAATTGAACCTATAGGCTAATGTCAAGGGTTCTATTACAAAGTTCGCCCGCTAATAGGGTCAGTTCCATATACCCTACTGGTCATAACACAGGACGCCCAGCCTGCAGGAATAAAGCATACCATTTAGGAATCGTAGCAAGTGGCCATAGAATTTCCAGCAGCTGAAGGGCGGTGGGGTAGCCAAGTGGTTCACGCCGAAGACCCGGGTTCGATTCCCACATGGGTACAATGTGTGAAGCCCATTTCTGGTGTCCCCGCCGTGATATTGCTGGAATGTTGCTAAAAGCGGCGTAAAACCATACTCACTCACTCCAGTAGCTGAAGTAGGGTTACAGGCGAGCAAGTGAATAATAGCCAAGAGAATAGAATGTATAATAGTGGTAGCGACAGTAGTATGTGAATAGTACAAGTAAAGATCGGGTTGTGACATTAGGGAATAGCAGCAGCTACAACAGAGGTGAGTGAGTGAGTTTAGTTTTACGCCGTACTCAGCAATATTCCTGCTATATGGCGGCGGTCTGTAAATAATCGAGTCTGGACCAGACAATCCAGTGATCAACAGCATGAGCATCGATCTGCGTAATTGGGAACCGATGACATGTGTCAACCAAGTCAGCGAGCCTGACCACCCGATCCCGTTAGTCGCCTCTGAAGGCGCATTCCAACCCGGAGCTTCGCGGGTTTACAATAGAGGTAGTGATAGTAGTGGAAAGAATGGTAGCAGTATAAATAGCGGTAGTGAAAGTAGTATACATAGCGGTAGTGAAAGTAGTATAAATAGCGGTAGCGAAAGTAATATAAATAGCGGTAGTGAAAGTAGTATAAATAGCGGTAGTGAAAGTAGTATACATAGCGGTAGTGAGAGTAGTATACATAGCGGTAGTGAGAGTAGTATACATAGCGGTAGTGAGAGTAGTATACATAGCGGTAGTGAGAGTAGTATACATAGCGGTAGTGAAAGTAGTATACATAGCGGTAGTGAAATAGTATACATAGCGGTAGTGAAAGTAGTATACATAGCGGTAGTGAAAGTAGTATACATAGCGGTGGTGAGTAGTATACATAGCGGTGAGTGAAAGTAGTATACATAGCGGTGGTGAAGTGGTATACATGGCGGTGGTGAAAGTGGTATACATAGCGGTGGTGAAGTGAGTATACATAGCGGTGGTGAAAGTAGTATACATAGCGGTGGTGAAAGTGAATGCATGGCGGTGGTGAGTAGTATACATAGCGGTAGTGAGAGTAGTATACATAGCGGTAGTGAGAGTAGTATACATAGCGGTAGTGAGAGTAGTATACATAGCGGTAGTGAAACTAGTATACATAGCGGTAGTGAGAGTAGTATACATAGCGGTAGTGAGAGTAGTATACATAGCGGTAGTGAAACTAGTATACATAGCGGTAGTGAGAGTAGTATACATAGCGGTAGTGAAAGTAGTATACATAGCGGTAGTGAGAGTAGTATACATAGCGGTAGTGAGGGTAGTATACATAGCGGTAGTGAAGCTAGTATACATAGCGGTAGTGGAAGTGGTATACATAGCGGTGGTGAGAGTGGTAAAATAGCGGTAGTGAAACTGGTATACATAGCGGTGAGTGAAAGCAGTAAAATAGCGGTGAGTGAAGTAGTATACATAGCGGTGAGTGAAAGTGGTAAAATAGCGGTGGTGAAACTGGTATACATAGCGGTAGTGAAGTAGTAAAATAGCGGTAGTGAAGTGGTATACATGGCGGTAGTGAAAATAGTATAAATAGCGGTAGTGAAAGTGGTATACATAGCGGTAGTGAAAATGGTATACATGGCGGTGAGTGAAAATGGTATACATAGCGGTAGTGAGAGTGGAATACATACGGTAGTGAAAGTGAGTATACATAGCGGTAGTGAAAATAGTATAAATAGCGATAGTGAAGTGGTATACATGGCGGTAGTGAAACTGAGTATACATGGCGGTGAGTGAAAATGGTATACATGGCGGTGGTGAAAAGTGGTATACATAGCGGTGAGTGAAAATGGTATACATAGCGGTGGTGAAAATGGTATACATAGCGGTAGTGAGGTGGTATACATAGCGGTGGTGACAATGGTATAAATAGCGGTGGTGACAATGGTATACATAGCGGTGAGTGAAAGTAGTATAAATAGCGGTGGTGAAAGTGAGTATAAATAGCGGTGGTGAAAGTGGTATACATAGCGGTGGTGAGAGTGGTATACATAGCGGTAGTGAGAGTGGTATACATAGCGGTAGTGTGGAGTGAGTATACACATAGCGGTGAGTGAGAGTAGTAAAAATAGCGGTAGTGAAAGTAGTATACATAGCGGTAGTGAAAATAGTATAAATAGCGGTAGTGAAAGTAGTATACATAGCGGTAGTGAAAATAGTATACATAGCGGTAGTGAAAATAGTATACATAGCGGTAGTGAGAGTAGAATACATAGCGGTAGTGAAAGTAGTATACATAGCGGTAGTGAAAATAGTATACATAGCGGTAGTGAGAGTAGTATACATAGCGGTAGTGAGAGTAGTATACATAGCGGTAGTGAGAGTAGTATACATAGCGGTAGTGAGAGTAGTATACATAGCGGTAGTGAGAGTAGTATACATAGCGGTAGTGAGAGTAGTATACATAGCGGTAGTGAGAGTAGTATACATGGTGGTGGTGAGAGTAACAACATAGCGGTGGTGAGAGTGGTATACATAGCGGTAGTGAGAGTAGTATACATAGCGGTAGTGAGAGTAGTATACATAGCGGTAGTGAAACTAGTATACATAGCGGTAGTGAGAGTAGTATACATAGCGGTAGTGAGAGTAGTATACATAGCGGTAGTGAAACTAGTATACATAGCGGTAGTGAGAGTAGTATACATAGCGGTAGTGAAAGTAGTATACATAGCGGTAGTGAGAGTAGTATACATAGCGGTAGTGAGGGTAGTATACATAGCGGTAGTGAAACTAGTATACATAGCGGTAGTGGAAGTAGTATACATAGCGGTAAAGAAAGCAGTAAAAATAGCGGTAGTGAAACTAGTATACATAGCGGTAAAGAAAGCAGTAAAAATAGCGGTAGTGAAAGTAGTATACATAGCGGTAGTGAAAGTAGTAAAAATAGCGGTAGTGAAACTAGTATACATAGCGGTAGTGAGAGTAGTAAAAATAGCGGTAGTGAAAGTAGTATACATAGCGGTAGTGAAAATAGTATAAATAGCGGTAGTGAAAGTAGTATACATAGCGGTAGTGAAAATAGTATACATAGCGGTAGTGAAAATAGTATACATAGCGGTAGTGAGAGTAGTAATACATAGCGGTAGTGAAAGTAGTATACATAGCGGTAGTGAAAATAGTATAAATAGCGATAGTGAAAGTAGTATACATAGCGGTAGTGAAACTAGTATACATAGCGGTAGTGAAAATAGTATACATAGCGGTAGTGAAAGTAGTGATAATGGTATACATAGGGTAGTGAAAGTAGTGTGAAAATAGTATACATAGCGGTAGTGAAATAGTATACATAGCGGTAGTGAAAGTAGTATACATAGCGGTAGTGACAATAGTATAAATAGCGGTAGTGACAATAGTATACATAGCGGTAGTGAAAGTAGTATAAATAGCGGTAGTGAAAGTAGTATAAATAGCGGTAGTGAAAGTAGTATACATAGCGGTAGTGAAAGTAGTATACATAGCGGTAGTGAAAGTAGTATACATAGCGGTAGTGAAAGTAGTATACATAGCGGTAGTGAAAGTAGTATACATAGCGGTAGTGAAAGTAGTATACATAGCGGTAGTGAAAATAGTATACATAGCGGTAGTGAAAGTAGTATACATAGCGGTAGTGAAAGTAGTAGAGAGAAGGGTAGCAGGAGCAAAAGCATTAATTTGTTGTTATTGATCTTCAAATAATTATTTGTATCAGTGATATTTAATGAGCTGGATACCAATGCGTGCTCAGACGATTATCGTTGGGATCGGTATGTCAGCAAATATATTTGCAAATTTTAGGTAAGCCATTACTAACGAGAGCTTTTCAATGTAGGAAGCACGAAAACAATAATTTATTTATGGTTGACCATAGGTGATCTCCCTATTGATCTGTTACTTGTTCGTAGGGTTAGAGGAGAATTCCACACTTTCCCTAATAATCTCTGTGACCGCTGCTGTCGTATTTGGCTATAAACTACGATAACAGGCCTGACTGAGATTAACAAGCCGGTGGACAATTAAGAAACTCGCAATAACCATAGGCCAGAAGACAAATTCTGCAGACATGATAGACGTGACATAGATAGGAATTGTTTGTAATACACAGAAGTAGTGTGTATTGCAGATTGGTCACCAGAACCATAACACGAGGTCATCATGCAGGTCATGCCGGCCCTCCTCGTGGTCATACACTTCATGCAGGTCATCCCCGTGGTCATACGCGTCATGCAGGCCATCCTCGTGGTCATACACGTCATGCAGGCCATCCTCGTGGTCATACACGTCATGCAGGCCATCCTCGTGGTCATCCACATCATGCAGGCCATCCTCGTGGTCATACACATCATGCAGGCATACATCATGCAGGCCATCCTCGTGGTCATCCACGTCATGCAGGCCATCCTCGTGGTCATACACGTCATGCAGGCCATCCTCGTGGTCATACACGTCATGCAGGCCATCCTCGTGGTCATACACGTCATGCAGGCCATCCTCGTGGTCATACACGTCATGCAGGCCATCCTCGTGGTCATCCGCATCATGCAGGCCATCCTCGCTGTCATACACGTCATGTAGGCCATCCTCGTGGTCATACACGTCATGCAGGCCATCCTCGTGGACATCCACACCATGCAGGACATCCTCGTGGCCATACACGTCATGCAGGCCATCCTCGTGGTCATACACGTCATGTAGGCCACCCTCGTGGTCATACACGTCATGCAGGCCATCCTCGTGGTCATACACGTCATGCAGGCCACCCTCGTGGTCATACACATCATGCAGGCCATCCTCGTGGTCATCCACATCATGTAGGCCATCCTCGTGGTCATCCGCATCATGCAGGCCATCCTCGTGGTCATACACGTCAAGCAGGCCATCCTCGTGGTCATCCACATCACGCAGGCAAATATCTTGGTCATACACATCACGCAGGCCATCCTCGCGGTCATCCACATCATGCAGGCCACTCTTGTGGCCATACACGTCATGCAGGCCATAGTCGTGGTCATCCACATCACGCAGGCAAATATCTTGGTCATCCGCATCATGCAGGCCGTCCTCGCGGTCATCCACATCATGCAGGCCACTCTTGTGGCCATACACGTCATGCAGGCCATCCTCCTCATCATACACGTCATGCAGGCCCTCCTCATGGTCATCCACATCATGCAGGCCATCCTCGCGGTCATACAAGTCATGCAGGTCATCCTCGTGGTCATACACGTCATGCAGGTCATCCTCGTCGTAATACACGTCATGCAGGTCATCCTCGTCGTAATACACGTCATGCAGGTCATCCTCGTCGTAATACACGTCATGCAGGTCATCCTCGTGGCCATACACGTCATGCAGGTCATCCTCGTGGTCATACACGTCATGCAGGCCATCCTCGTGGTCATACACGGTCATGCAGGCCATCCTCGTGGTCATACAGGTCATGCAGGCCATCCTCGTGGTCATACACGTCAAGCAGGCCATCCTCGTGGTCATACACGTCATGCAGGCCATCCTCGTGGTCATACACGTCATGCAGGCCATCCTCGTGGTCATACAGGTCATGCAGGCCATCCCCGTGATCATACAGGTCATGCAGGCCATCCTCGTGGTCATACACGTCAAGCAGGCCATCATCGTGGCCATGCAGGTCATGCAGGCCATCCTCGTGGTCATACACGTCATGCAGGCCATCCTCGTGGTCATACACGTCATGCAGGCCATCCTCGTGGTCATACACGTCATGCAGGCCATCCTCGTGGTCATACAGGTCATGCAGGCCATCCTCGTGGTCATACACGGCATGCAGGCCATCCTCGCGGTCATCCACATCATGCAGGCCATCCCCGTGATCATACAGGTCATGCAGGTCATCCCCGTGGTCATCCACATCATGCAGGTCATCCCTTGGTCCTGCAGGTCATGCAGGCCATCCTCGCGGTCATCCACATCATGCAGGCCATCCCGTGATCATACAGGTCATGCAGGTCATCCCCGTGGTCATCCACATCATGCAGGTCATCCCTTGGTCCTGCAGGTTATGCAGGCCATCCTCGCGGTCATACACGGCATGCAGGCCATCCTCATGGTCATCCACATCATGCAGGTCATCCCTTGGTCATGCAGGTCATGCAGGCCATCCTCGCGGTCATACACATCATGCAGGTCATCCTCGTGGTCATCCCCATCATGCAGGCCGTCCTCGCCGTCATACAAGTCATGCAGGTCATCCTCGTGGTCATACACGTCATGCAGGTCATCCTCGTCGTAATACACGTCATGCAGGTCATCCTCGTCGTAATACACATCATGCAGGTCATCCTCGTGGTCATACACGTCATGCAGGCCATCCTCGTCGTAATACACGTCATGCAGGTCATCCTCGTGGCCATCCACATCATGCAGGCCATCCACATCATGCAGGCCATCCACATCATGCAGGCCATCCTCGTGGTCATACACGTCATGCAGGCCACCCTTGTGGTCATACACGTCATGCAGGCCACCCTCGTGGTCATACACGTCATTCAGGCCATCCTCGTGGTCATACACGTCATACGGTTCGTGACAACAGCAGAAGCAGTATAGAAGCCAGATCCACGACACCGGCATTGCAGAAGTTGGATCCATGAATGAGTCAGATTGCTAAACAAACCACACGTAATGCAGTTCGCAACAACACCAACAACAGGGAGCTTTTAGCGCCTTTATCTCCCACACAGGTTTACCGGTTGTAACGTCGTTCAAAACAGGTCCAATCATGAATAAACCAAAGTAAAGTCCAAGTGGAAAATGGTGTATTACACATGTACATATAATGGAAGCTCAACGGTATTCGGAGAAAAAAAGAAGGTATTGAATGATTTATGATTGTCAATAGTTTATCTGGAGATCTCTGGCTGCTCGTGTAGGTCAGTGGTTTATATTGCTTAATGTGCCTCTCCTATTCCCACGATAACAGCAATACTGGCACGGTTTATCTGCTTTGTCAATTATTTATGTGCACAGACGAAGCTTTAAATAAAAGTCTGAATAGAAAACACCCTGGTGGTGTTGTCGTGGAGGAAAGGTCAAATAAATACAGCCCATTCGCAGACGGAATCGTCGGAGTGTTTTCTGGTGTAATGTAGCTTGGATGCGGTTAGTTATGCGCCTGAGTGGGTTTGTTGTTTCCCAGCTGATATATAACCTATCTACAGAGACAGTTCTCACTCTCCCCTTTCCCCCACACCCCCATGCTCGCTCGTCAATCAAGTGCGCCAGTAGAACTCGGGTGTTAATTGCCATAACCCTTGCAGCTAATGGAGCAGAGAATGCATGTATTGTAACGCCGAGAATGACACCAGCGGTTTATCTCCCACTGATCTGCCTTTGTACGAGATGCTGCTGCTGTCCTATACCCATGGAAACTATCGAGAATACCTTATAGGCGGTATGATTAATTACTTATATCTGGAAACGGTATTGACAATTGTCCGATTCATTCAATTGCTACATTTGAGGTATTATTGCACTCAAGGGTTCCGGCAACATGCAGGCCGGTTGAGGTAATCATTGTCATAATGAGCGTCATCTGCAAACTGGCAACACGCCCAGTGTCGGTGACTTAGTGCATTGTCAAACAGATCTACATGTCTGGTCTCCAGAACATGTTAACTAAGAAGGCCATATTTTGCCAATTATTACATTGAAAACTTTGAAAGTCAACTACTATCTGTGATGAAGCATAACGACATGATCTGTGAAAGAGCGCATATGAAAGAAAACTGAGAACATGTATAGAAATATATTTCGAATGTAACCTATATCAGCAGCCAACTTGATACGGATTTGAAAGTTCTAAGATCCTTTTCCTTTGCTAAGTAGCCGTGGTTGTATTAAACCCGTGTAATAACACTAAACCATGGTGCACCACTAAACCTGTAAAGTAACAGTAAACCCGTAAGATCTCTCTCTCTCTCACACACACACACACACACACAGAGTAAGAGAGAGAGAGTGAGAGAGAGAGAGTGAGTGAGAGAGAGAGAGAGAGAGAGAGAGGGGGGGGGGTGCAGGCTCGAGGCCGATAGACAGAGTTTTTCATTTTCATATTTTATTCAAAAGCAGACAGGATAAGAGACAAAGACCCACAGACCCGCGCAGGCACGCGCGCCCACACACGCACGATCACTCATACATGCAAGTCGCTTCAACTGCAATAATCTTGGAAGCCATCATGTACAACGCCATCATTTCGCCTCACTATTTATTACTACATTGTTAACAAGAGTTGCTGCCCTTTAGTCGAGCTGTCACTGATGCGTGTGACCAGTGTCGATTACTATCCCATAATATCCTGCACGCGGCAGGGAAAGGCCCTATAGGTGTATACGGCGGAAGACTCGTGTCAGGTGCAAGACAGCAAGGACAGAGGGGGCTACGAAACTAGTCAATAAATATTTTGATACGTTAACTAAACATACCCTTTAGATATAACATGTTCCGGTATTTTGGCATCGAAGTGCCAACATATAGGTTTATTGGAATGTCTGGCAAACAGGAGAAATCGTCCTCTTTGGTTTGGAGAAATATTACTGATTTGCGAAAGGGTCAGCCATTCCAAGAATACTCTACGATACTGTCGTCTGATACCTTTGGCAATGACAAGATGATTCTCTGTGAATAAGACGCGAAAAAGGCTTAATCGCATTGATTACCATGAGAAATGAATCCAATTTGATATCGGTTGGCATACAATTTATTGAACGAAATAAATAATGAAACTAACGGTCCTGCCTCCAATATCACGACACGTATATAACTACATGACATATCTTGTATTCCAGAGAAAAGGTCAGAAGCCGAGTATTCTGTTGTGGAGAAGGTGGATGTTAAATTACACTCGTTGACATGCGGAGAATAAGCAGCCTCGTAAAGTTTATAAGGTTAAACAGCGAACTTGGGTCTAAAGTAGAACATGGTGGACATAACCGTTGACAAATGTAGTCTCACTGTACTCATATTGTACAAGATATCCAATTTTATTCTGAATTTAAGTTGTGCGGGTGAGTTGGTTGTCTACATCTTGTAATGCTGCTTCTTTGCTATTTTGATATTCAGCAGCACCGGTCAGTTGGTTGTCTACATCTTGTAATACTGCTTCTTGGCTATTTTGATATTCAGCAGCACCGGTCAGTTGGTTGTCTACATCTTGTAATACTGCTACTTTACTGGATTAATATTCAGCAGCACCGGTCAGTTGGTTGTCTTTTCGTCTTGTAATGCTGCTTCTTTGCTATTTTGATAGTCAGCAGCACCGGTCAGTTGGTTGTCTACATCTTGTAATACTGTTTCTTTGCTATTTTGATAGTCAGCAGCACCGGTCAGTTGGTTGTCTTTTCGTCTTGCAATACTCAGCTCAGTTGGTTGTCTCTTCTTTGCTATTTTGATATTCAGCAGCAGCGGCCAAAAGCTTCCAAGTTAAGACTCAATACCCCTGGGTGTATCGTGTTCGAGTGTTGTAGATACCATTTCAACGTTAAACCAAACGGTGATGTTGTTGCTTGTCTTAGAAAAATTATTGAACATGTTTGTTACAGATAACCACAAATACAAATTTGCCAATAAAGTAAAAAACAAAAGACCAAGTATAAATACCACCCTTATTAGCAGGTAGCAGCAGGAGCTATAATAATAAATAAATAATAATAAGTACATTTATAATGCGCCAAATCCAGACACAAAGTGTATGCTCATAGCGCTACATAAGAGATTCTGACATCACGAGGTTAAGAGATCGCGGCTAGAAATGATTAGAGTCTATAGAACTGAGTGAAGAGAAATGTTTTGAGACTGTCTTTGAACATTTGCAGAGTAGGGATTCCTTTAAGATAATCTGGGAGTTTATTCCAGAGAGTGGTGGCATTGTAAGTAAATGATCTCTGACAAAATCGTCTATAGCAGCAAGAGTAGTAACAGCACTAACACAAACACTGGTAATGATAGCAGTATCAGTAATAGTATTGTAGCCGTAGAGTTAAAGTCGTAGATAATGTGGTAACAACCGTTGTAGTAGTGGCATGGCTGGTAGCGGGTGTCAGTAGTCTGTCTTTCGTACTGCACTTTCAGAAAGGAGATTATTCTAATGATGCATGGATAATTAGAAATACTGGAATCTGTGCACATAATAGTTTGAGATAATTGGTCAATTATGGCGTCCGTGACTCTCCGCACGGAGGAGAATGAATCTGGTTTAATGCAGCAACGGCAGCACGCCTAAAGGTGGTTACTGGTGATAAACAACTAATGATGATTGTCATCCACTCGCTGGCGTACTCTATCGATCATTACAACCCATGGCAGCAGACCCACGTCTTTACTAAACACTACATATAGCTTGATGATTGCAGATTAAAAACACGAGTGGACATTCGGACATCCCCTGAGATGGTCTTTTGCAGGGAAACTGCTACTGTCGAGGATTGGACAGTGGAAACACGGGTGGGTTTGGAAGGACAGGTCGTTGTCGTCTATTCCGAACCAAACATGAAAACTGGTAATATATGCATTAGAAACACTCGTTCGAGTTCCCATGGAGGACAAAGCAATATCAATTTCTTTTTGGACAGATTCCCATCTGGGACTAATTCACCTCCTGTTTCTCGCATGTCTAAAACGAAAGTGTCATGTTTGACAAATACGCCTCCTATGCCTCTTGGGTGTTTAGGACCTGTAGTTGTTAAAGCGACTAAAGCAAATCCAACATACCAACATGCAGTTGGCAGAGCAAAGGTAGATGATCCAACATACCAGCATGCTGTTCACAGAGCCTGGGTAGATGATCCAATATACCAACATGCTGTTCACAGGGCAAGGGTAGAGGATCCAACAAGCAACATGCAGTTGACAGAGCAAGGGTAGATGATCCAACATACCAACATGCTGTTCACAGAGCAAGGGTAGAGGATCCAACAAGCAACATGCAGTTGACAGAGCAAGGGTAGAGGATCCAACATACCAACATGCTGTTCACAGAGCAAGGGTAGATGATCCAACAAGCAACATGCTGTTCACAGAGCAAGGGTAGAGATCCAACATGCAACATGCAGTTGACAGAGCAAGGGTAGAGGATCCAACAAGCAACATGCAGTTGACAGAGCAAGGGTAGAGGATCCAACAAGCAACATGCAGTTGACCAACATGCTGTTCACAGAGCAAGGGTAGAGGATCCAACAAGCAACATGCAGTTCGACAGAGCAAGGGTAGAGGATCCAACAAGCAACATGCAGTTGACAGAGCAAGGGTAGAGGATCCAACAAGCAACATGCAGTTGACAGAGCAAGGGTAGAGGATCCAACAAGCATCCAACATACCAACATGCAGTTGGCAGATCAAGGGTAGAGAATCCAACAGATCCAGTATGTAGCAGTGTTTGGTTGACCTTCACGTCCAACTTGCACACGAAATATTTTTTCTTAACTTCCAATCAGTACAATAATTGCAGAAGGTTTTCAGTAAGCTGAAATAAAACCACCCTCACCTTCACCTGTAAGCAGAAGAACGCGACGTTGTAATTACAATGGTTTTCATAATACTTGGTGTGGTATTGGGGTACTTCGCCGAAATGTTTA